GGATGCATTGTAAGAAATACAGTGATGAATTCGGGCACATCACTTGTCAAATATTTCCAGTTGCACGCAAATGTCTTCAGTCAATCACATGAACTGTTTAAAAAGGGAAACACTTGCACTTTAATGCAACTATCAAGGGTACTTAACACAAACAAAAAAATTGATGCATGGTTTGATATATATATTTTGACTGATTTTTATTTGAAATGACATAAATAATAAATCCCTAAAATAAAAAGAAATCTTAGGATTTCCTTGATGCTTAGATATGAGACTTTGCTTTGCTTTCTATATAATTCCATACAAAATTTTGCACAAATTTTTAACATTATGACAAAATCGTATAAAATTCTCCCAAACTATTCGGTAAACATTCAGGTTACCAATGTAAATGTAAATCTATGTTAGTGTTATTTATCCTTAATACAGAGGTCAACGTCAACCATGAACTTGCAAATTCTTATCTCTTAGTCATGTTGTTTTGATGAATACCTTTTGAGTAAATTTATGGTAATTTATTATTTTCATGCTTCATAATTTGTACATGTTTTATTTGCACATTTTCCAATGATGATTAATAAAACATTTCAATGTCAGCTAATAATTTTTATTCATCGTCAAATTAAAACAAAACCGTAACTTTATTGTCTTAGCTACCATAAAAAATTGCAAATGTATATACATGTATATATTTAATATATATTTGCTAGCTGATCAACTGAACTTTGATTCATCTACACAAATATAACAAAAGCCTTGATTGATTCAATGACATAATTCTGTACATTTACATAGAAATATGGGAACATGCTATCCACCAGCAAATGGAGGCGTCTCCATATGAACGAAAAATTCTATCGAGAGGGACGTTAAACAACAAACAAACAAACAACGAGTCTTAGGCCACGGCAAATGCTCTCTTCTCACATGCAGAAGTTTTTGAATGAATTATACTTATGGGAACTTAAAAACAAGTCTAGTAAATTGACACAATAAAGACCCAAAGGAATTCCACAGTTTGTTGGAAAGACCTGGTTTTCAAAGACATAAATTCTGTCAACTCCAGTATTCTTTTCATATTAACTTAAGATTACTCTTATGTAGAAACAACGTGATTTTTAACATTGAAATTTATACTTATTATTTTTTCTTAAATATATCTATTGAAATATTTAAGAAAAGTAGAAATATTGTACATTTTAATCATGATTCATTAGATTTTGTATAAGCTTTTGGATCTTTTGAGAATCCACATCTGATTTACATCTCTTCTTGAACACGCTGTAGCACTTTGCATCTGAAATTTCTCCTTTACCTTGAAATGTTTAAGATGAATAGTGATGGGTCTCAAAATTTTTAAACACAATATAAATCTTGTGAAAAGGACATAAACACGAACAATTGGAAATTCCAGAGGTGGAATCAGGAGGAATAAGCTTCCCCTGTCGACCCGTCACACCCGCAGTGACCCCTATGTTTTGATCAGGTAGTCAGAACATTCTGTATTCAATTTCAGTATATAAAAAAAACACAAGATGTGTTTGTGAAACACATGCCCCAGTATGGCAACGTTTGGCGAAGGTTCAAGATTCCCAAATGCAAGTCAAAGTCCAAGGTAAAGGGATAAAAATGTTGTTATCCAAATTAAGGACTTCTGTCAATGGATATACCTGGTAAATATGAAAGCTCAACCGTTCAAAAGTTATAGTCAAGATTAATTAGGGCCCCACAAGGATTTGCGGGTGCCCTATAGTAATCACTCTGTCTGTCCGTCTGTCATTCTTCCATCCGAAAATTGTCTGTTTTTTTTCCTAATAACTTTTTTTTATGGTAACCCAATTAAGTTCAAATTTGGCATGGTAGTTCAGTGGGCAGAAAGACATATTTTGATGCTAAGTTTCTTTCTCTATGTCCTCTGGTTTGGAGCTGGTGTGGTGTGGTATATTCTTTAACTTTATATAAGAATGAATTGGCAAAGAGAGATAACTTCTGAAAATGTTCCCATTGTAAACTGAATACTGCAATAAGTCCCTTGGGATTAATTAGCTTTCCTCCTGAAGAAAATCCAAAGTATTATTTTTATCTGCCACAATGAGATAAAGTGCCACCTCTGCAAATGAAGTTTGTTTTAAATTGAAGTCAATTTGGAATGCTATGAACACTCCGAAATGTGGATTTAAGTATAAATGTTTATAGTTTATTTTTGTTGAAATACCCTACACAATGAGTTCTGATTTCATTGAATTCTAAAAACAAGAAGTAGATTAAAGAAGATATGTATTTTTTAATTTTATTTTTTTTTAATTTTGCTTTATGTAAATTCAACAATATTATTAATTTTTAAGGTAGTAGGATTAAAACCTCATTCTGTCATTACTGAAAAAGTGTATATTGTAAATTTAGAAGAAAATGATGAGAGAGAAATACAATTAATCCCTTGGGATTAATTATCTAGTCTGGTGCAGAAAATTTAGAAGGCTTATCTTTATCTGTCCCTTTAAGATTGATGAAAACCTTTGCAACTGCATGCTGTTTATTTTGAAGTTAAAGGTACTTGGACACAGATTTGAAGTTAATATTTTCTCATTTTTCCTGTATAATATCACAAATATATATTTTAATAGCATTTCACACAAAAATTAATTAAAAATCTTATTTCATTTAAAAGTTATTAAAACTTTAAATTTTTTGGCGGGTTTGATTGACACAACTGTCATCCTTGCACTTTCACAAATTTTAACTTTATTCTTAATCCTTAGGAAAAGTGGCAATCTTGTTGTGTATTAATGAGAAATATTAAAACTTAAATCAAGAAAAATAATTTTATTCAGAGTAGAAATGTTAGAAAGCAGATCTACGTCACAAGTATCGTCATTCCGTTGTGTACAGAGTTTTGCGAATCGATCACACTCGTGTTATGTACACAGGTTTTTATAAACATGTTATTGTTTGGTGTTTACGATTCATCGGGTGCGTTAAAAGGTCTGTTCACCACATCTGCACGGACTGACAATATTTTGTGTGTTTGTTTTGCTTTAGTACATGTCTACTCTGAATTTTCTGGATTGTAGTATTAATATTTTTCATTAATACACATCAGGATTGCCACTTTTCTTAAGAATTAAGAATAAAGTTAAAATTTGTGAAAGAGCAAGGATGTGTCAATCAAACCCGCCAAAAAAATTAAAGTTTTAATAACTTTTAAATGAAATAAGATTTTTAATTAATTTTTGTGAGAAATGCTATTAAAATATATAAGTCGTAATATTATAGAGAAAATATTAACTTCAAATCTGTGTCCAAGTACCTTTAAGGTCAAGCCTTCATGATATGTATTCATTGAAGGCTGGCATTTTATATAACACAAACTTCATTATTGTTTAAATATACATTATTGCTTAGTTGTTCTTTACTGCCTTATGTAAATACAAGGATATTATTTACAGGTTTTTGGATATTCAGGAATTATCTTGAAATTTTTAAGAATACAGTTGCTGTTTCTTATTCTTTATCTATTTTTGAATCATTCCATAAGCTGCACCCTTATAATTCTACCCCATGGCGGGGCCCTTGCTGACTGGTCAGTTTTCTAGTGTTTTTTAAAAGTGGGTCAAACTCCAATGTCAAGGTCAAAGGATAAAAATTAAGAGCACTGAGAAAGAACTTGTCAAAATAAAACACTTGCAAAATATAAAAGCCCTAGTACCAACTGTTATGGAAAAGATTTTTTTTCAAAAGAAGGCCAAACTCTAAGGTCGAGGTCAAAAGGTCGCAAGGATGTTCTTGTCACAAGGAATATACCTGTGAAATTTAAAAGCGCAAGTTTTAACTGTTCAAAAGTTATTGCCAAGTTTAGAGGTTTTTAGAAGTGGATAAAACTCTATGGTTAAGGCCAAAAAGTCAAAAAGTATTTACATCTATACGAGGGCCGTTCAAAAATTACGCGGACTTGTTGCACAGAAGAAATATTTGACGACATAATCGGGCAAAATTTCACAAATAATATAAAAGAATCTCTACTGATATGGTCTTCAAAATTTCATATCAAAATGTTGTAAATTGGTATTAATTTTGAGTGATTTTTCAGGACATACCATTAAGTCACGGCGCAGCAAAATCTTCGACGTCACAAGCATTGTAAAAAAATATGTGATTAAGCTTTCATTTTCTCAACATTTTCCCTTAAGTACCTGTTTAGTTTGAGTTACCATATCTACTCAACATCAAATACCATTTCTTGTCAAGCTTAAAATCTATTAAACAAGTAAAGAATATTCTTTTTTTTTTGTTTTAAAATCAAAAAACTACTTATGAGATATAGTGTGATATTGGTGACTCTCAATCACATTCTTTACAGTCCGGATAAAGTTAACTTTTCGTCTATAATCTTCTTCCCATCCTCCCGTATAGCCTTTTTACAGAGGTCTAACTGTCTAAAATTTCAATTTGCTATTTGTGGGCGAATGTCACGAGTAGCCTAGTTTACTACATGTTTTATTATGCATATTTTGGATCTGTAATGTTGTGAGAGAGAGGTAAAAGAACACGTCTGTCTAGTTTACTAACTATTTATTAAGTGACCATCAGATTGAACATATTCCCATGCATATGATAATGATTGACAACAGATGAAATTAGGGAGAGGAACTTTATCGTGAGAACTGATAATGTCAGAGAGCAGTGCTTGATTGAAAATAAACATTCTGATGCTGGCCTGATAATTGTTAATTACAGATTGACAGATTTAATTTAGAGTATAAACATTACATCCCTCCCTTTCTTTAATTGAAAGCATGTACATCGAAATAATTCTAATTACTGTGTACACTTATCAAAGTTCATGTGGGTTTCATTTTGAGAATTGTCAGTAATTTTCTAAATGTCCGTTCAACTTTGGTGTCTCTTTCCTCGGACTTTCTAAGACAACATATTCATGCATAATTACTAATGTTATGTACAAAATCACTATATAATTATGATTTGGGGATTATTATGCCCCATTACAAATCTTCGCACTGTGCACACACGTAATCTTTCAGATGCGCTGGTGGTCTGCGCTCGCGAGTTGACCGTCTAGGCTCCGGCTGTGCGGTAATTAATTCATCACTGGAATCGTCTGTTACCTCGGCTGACCTTTCGTGTTCGTTAATTTTCTTGAAGAAGGATGCGTTTCTGGTGACTTCTTTGTTATCATTCTTAGCGGTTATCATAGAGCCTTTTTGTTTAACTACTTCGTACGGCTCGGGACTGTATGGAGTTGATAGTTTGTCTTGTTTTTGTTGTTTTACAAGAACTTTGTCTCCCGGTTGCAGCTTATGATCTAGTGCTCCTCTTCTAATGTCTGCATATCTCTTCATTTTTTCTTTTTCTTTTTGATCTTTACGTGATATTTCCGTGTTTTTGGACGATGGAATAATCTCGGGAATTCTGGTTTTTAATTTTCTGCCTAGTAGTAATTCAGCGGGTGTTGCGCTTGTTGTTGCATGTGGCGTCGCTCTATAGTTGCGCAAAAAACAATATAACTTCTGTTTCCAGCTTCTGTGTTCGGCATGTGCGGCTCGAATCGCTTTTCCAATGGTCTTCATGAATCGTTCCGCTTCTCCATTAGCTTGTGGCCATAACGGTGTAATTTTCCTATGTTGAAATCCTAGATGTTTTGCAAACTCCTTGAAGAGTGATCCGTTGAACGGAGGTCCATTGTCGGTTTTGACTACATCAGGAATTCCAAATAAGGCGAAAACGTTATCTAGTTTCGGTATCACTGCCTTTGCTGTTAATCTTGATAAGATTTCGACTACAGGGTACCTTGAATAATCATCAACAACGACCATTAAGTAGGATCCAGATGGAAATGGTCCACAGAAATCCATGCTGACCTCAGACCACGGTCATTTGGGTAGGGGTGACATCTTCAATGGTGTGTACTTTTGTCCTGGTACTGATGCTTGACACGGAACGCATCCTTTACAAAATTCTTCTACTTGCTTATCTATGTTGACAAACCATACCTTTTCTCTGAGTAGCTGTTTAGTACGGACTATCCCCTGATGACCTTCATGCGCTAATTTGATCACTGTTTGTTGTAATGATCTCGGAATGACCAACCTGTTTTCGATGAGTAACACGCAGTGGTTTCCGTCTCGGTGCAAAGTTAGTTCATTTTGCCTTCGTCTAAAAGTTTCAAATGTTTTATCGAGGTCTTTAGATTCTGGAATCTTTTCCTCGGAAATGATTGCTTCAATTACTTGTTGAAGGATAGGATCTTTTTGGGTTTCATCACTGATTTCGGCTAAGGTCAAAGTTTTTGGTACGGCATTCTCTGTTACGTAATTAACGTATTCCTCGGCGATATCTGACAGACTGTTTATCTTTGTTGACTTAGACGGATGTCTGGACATGTAATCTGCTGCATTTGTTTTCCCTGGACGGTACTGTAGCCTGAAATGATACGGTTGCAGTTTTAATCGCCATCTCTCTATTCTCGTGGGAGGCTTTGAGTGTGGATTATTAAAAATCGCTTCCAATGGCTTGTGGTCGCTAATGACTTTGAAATCTTGTCCAAACAGATACAGATTAAAATGTTCACATCCCCAAACAACTGCCAGTGCCTCGCGCTCAGTTTGTGAGTATCGAGTTTCCACATCATTTAACGCACGACTTCCGTACGATATGACTTTGCCTTCTTGTGTTAATAACGCACCAAGTCCTACGGGACTTGCATCAACAATCATTGTTGTTTCTTTTGACGGATCAAAATATGCCATAACTTTGTCACTTGTAAGCTCATGTTTCAACATGTCGAATGCTTTTTGTTGATTAGGTTGCCACTCAAACTTCACATTTTGCTTGGTTAGCTCTCGTAATGGCGCAGTAATTGTTGAATAGTTCGGAATAAATCTTCCTACATAGTTTGTCATGCCTAAGAAGCTTCTGACTTCACTTGCATTTGACGGTATCTCAGAATTCTTTATCGCATCCACTTTTCTCGGGTCTGCGGAAATTCCCTCTGAACTGAATACATATCCATAGAATTCAATTTGCGTTTTGTTGAATTCACATTTTTCTTTGTTTAATGTGAGCTGTTTTTCTTCTAGTCGTTTAAATACTGCCTCGAGATTTCTGTCATGCTCCTCGCAATTTTGTCCAAACACTATGATGTCATCACTTATGTTTCGAACTCCTTGTAAACCTTCAAGCGCTGTACTAAGCGAGTTCTGGAATACTTCTGCTGCTGAAGAAATTCCAAAGCTTATTCGTTTATATCGACGTAATCCAACATGGGTTGAGAACGTTGTGATGTTCCGAGAATCTGGGTGTAATTCCAGCTGATGATACCCAGCATTCAGGTCGAGTTTGGAAAATACTTTGGATCCATTGAGATCAAGAATCATGTCATCAATGGTTGGCGTGACATGGCGTTCACGTTGTATTGCTGTGTTGGCTTTTCTCATATCCACACACAGTCTAATTTCTCCAGGTTTCTTAGGTTTAGGAGCTACGACGATCGGAGAGACCCATGGTGTGGGACCATTAACCTTTTCAATGATGTCGAGTTTCTCTAATTTCTCGAGTTCTTTTTCAACTTGTTTCCGGACATGGAATGGAATTCTTCTGTGTGGCTGAGAAACAGGTTTTACAGATTCGTCGACGTGGAGTTTAACTTGTTTCTGTTTAAGTTTTCCGATTCCATTGAACACTTTCGGGTACTTTTGACACAAAATTTCAATTTTGTCATCACTAAGAGATGCTATTTTCTGCACAATCTGCAGTTGAACACTTGTATCGTATCCAAGTAAAGAACCAGAGTTCCCTTTGACAACATAGACGTCCGCAATCTCAATTTTGTTTTTGTTTTCGATTGTTGCTTGGAATTTTCCCATAATATCAAGGGTAGTTTTAGAACCATACGCGAACACACGGGTATCAGCCTTCCGCAATTTCACTTTGTTTTCAAGTTTCTTGAATGTACATTCGTCTACAACGTTGATGCTTGAGCCTGTGTCGACTAGAACATTTACGGGTATCCCGTTGATTTCAACTTTTATACGCGGTTGTCTCCTGGTAATGGAATTAATTTGATCCAAACCAAAGAGGTATTCGCAAGATTCTGAATCAGAGTCGCTATTACATGCCTCTAGCTGTTTCACAGATTTGGGTTTACGATTCATTGATTTGCTCTTTGATCTGCAGACGGATGCAAAATGGCCTATCTTGTGACATGCGTTACATGTCTTACCTTTTGCCGGACACGGTCCTTTCAGATGGGGAAACTGTCCACCACAGTTGAAACATTTCTCCTTTGAGGGTGTGTCCGTCCGATCCCTGGTACCACGTTTTCTTTCCAGGAACTTGGGTACATTCCGACGTTTTCTCATTGCATGTACTTCCTCGGCACTTTTGTCGGTTTTCTCGATTTCGCTTGCTTGTTTATCCGATAGTTCTAGTGATCTTGCTAGCTTAAGTAGATCTTCTAGGTTTATGTCGTCCCTCAGTGCTCGTCTTCTTAGTCTTGTTGAGCTGCATCCTTGTATTATCTGTGATTTCACTTCTTTGTCATTGTTGTTGAATTCACAAGTTAACGACAATTGTCTAAGCTTGGTGTGGAAAGTGTCTATTGTTTCTCCGGGTTCTTGTTTGGCCTGCCTGAATTTGTACACTTCAAATTCAGTGTTCTTCTTTGGGGCGAAGTATTCAGTCAACCTGGCTACCGCCGTGTCGTAATCATCACCTGTGTTAGGTAATGTCTCAAAAATCTCATTTACCTCCTCTCCAGCATAGTGGAGTAACAGAGCTCTCTGTCTGGCTTTGTCGTTCTTTACTCCCATCGCAAGAATGAGATTGTCCAGTCTCAACTTCCATTTCTTCCAGCGTATGTCCGTTGCATTCTCATGCACAGAAAATGGTGGAAAGTTTGGTAATGCCGACATTTTGGATAAACTTTTGCTACAAGTGTACTACACAGTAGAACTAGTATATATCCAAAAGATTACTCACAGAATCCTCGTCGCCATTGTAATGTTGTGAGAGAGAGGTAAAAGAACACGTCTGTCTAGTTTACTAACTATTTATTAAGTGACCATCAGATTGAACATATTCCCATGCATATGATAATGATTGACAACAGATGAAATTAGGGAGAGGAACTTTATCGTGAGAACTGATAATGTCAGAGAGCAGTGCTTGATTGAAAATAAACATTCTGATGCTGGCCTGATAATTGTTAATTACAGATTGACAGATTTAATTTAGAGTATAAACATTACAGGATCTATGTTGCCGATATCTCGAGCATTACACATATTTTAACAAAAGTGTGGTGCACCGTCAATTCAGGAAACGTCATTTTCACAGTCGTTTTCACGGGAATCGCATCAGAGAAAAATTACTATATTTCTGTTAGTACTTTAAATATTACGTCCGAAATCTAAATACATAATAATAGACACAAATGTAAATATATGTAATAAGGTATCATTTTAAAACATCTATCGGGCTATAAATACGGGTTGGTACATGTACGAGATTAAATTCATCGTAAAGCCCTCGCTTTATGGAATTTAATCTCGTGACTAACCCGTATTTATATCCCGATAGATGTTTTAAAATGATACCTTATTTCTTAAATATAGATCTTGTCACAATAAATACACATGAAATTTGATGGCCCTATCTCCAAATGTTTAAAAATTATGGGCAAGATTGGCAATTTTTTAAAAACAAAAGTGGGTCAAACTTCAAGGTCAAAATTATTGTACCATAAAGAAGGTCTTGTCACAAAAAATACACAAAAGTCATGTGAAATATGGAAGCCATAGCTTCAACAATTTACACAATTGCTACACAATGTAGCTTTCGGTTGATATGTATACTATTACAAATCAAAAATCAATGAAAATGAACAAAATGCGACTTACTGTGGAGAATATTCTTACATTCCAAAATACATGTTTTCATTTTCGTTTTTTAATTTTTTCTGTATTTATTTTGTCCAAAGAAACTTTTCAAGATATTTTTATATGTAAGGTTATGCATAGATATATTTTGGGGTGAAAATTCATGCATTGATGTATTTTTGGGTGAAAAATTACCAACTGTTTCATATTTTAATCCTTGACCAATGACCTTTGAATTCACCATTTATTGCGTCATTACCCAGTTTTAAATCTATTCAAGGTATTTTCATTAAACGTCATAAATTAAAACGAATTTTCATGTTGCAGTAACATTGAACCCTGAGCGGAGCATTAACGTCTTGTGTATGGAATGCCAAATTAACATATAATCAAATATTTGAACCTGTCTTCAAATAATTGAACTTCTTTCTAAATGAATTGAGAGTAAATGATTGTACCTATCTCTGAATAATTAATCCTAGGTTCAAATAAATTACACCAATCTTTAATGGATTTGAATTACACCTATTTTCAATTCATTTGAAGATAGGTAAATTGACCTAAAAAGAGGTACAAATGATTTGAAAATAGGTGCAACTGATTTGAATATATGCACAATTCAAATTTACCTAAGTTTAATTCTCTTTTATTATTGAAAATAATGAAAGTTCCCTTTAACAGTAACTTGAACATAAAGGGAACTGCACAAGGCATTCTTATGGAGAGTGGTTGTTGTTGTCCGTATCTTTATAATTAAAGATAAGTTCAATTAAAATAGGACACTTATCTGGAAATCAATAATTTACCTTTATGTAATTCAAGATATTTGTACCCATCTTCAAATCAATATCGTCCCTATCTTCCAATCAACTGTACCTACAAATGTATCTTCATATGAAATAAAGATAGGTATATATAATCCAATTAAACCAATCTCTAATTTATTTTAAAAAAGGTATAATTAATGTTAAGATAGGTACAACTGATGTTAAGATAAGTGCAATTAGGCCTAATTTAAGATAGGTTTACGAGGCAGTCCACCGAAAAACCAGGCAGTACTGTATTGATGGGCGACACATCGAATGTAACGAATATTTGATATCAAATATTTACATTTCCAATGTCTTTGTCCGAGATAAAATTACAAGTAGTGGATGTACTTTATTTCCTCATCAATGTACTGGTTCATTGATAGGCGCGGTAAAAAAAAATCACGTGATGGGCGGGACAAATAGAGACAAGAAGCGGGGCTTGTAGCAATTCATTAATTGATAACAATATCTATGTAGTCCACATGGAATAATGTAATTGAGATTTGTTTAAAAATTGCTTATTTAGAAAAATATTCTTTTGTTTCGAATTCCTCTAAATATAAACCATTGAATTTAGGTCAGAAACAAAGAACTGTAATTTCCAATACATTTTTAATAGGACTATAATTCACACTGAACTAAATGTAGAAATATTTCATATTTCTGTTTCAAAAATAAAATCCGTGGGAAAAACACTTTTGACAGTAGTTTTCTGGCAAAATATATAGACTTTTTTTGCGATGCAAGAGTTAAAAATATTTGAATATATGTTAATTTGGCATTCCATACATGTAGACATAGCTAGGTTATTTTTCGTAGTGTATGCCCAAGGCCAGCGCATTTGTTTACCTTTGACTTTATGAAATTTACAGTAGTTCAAGTTTGTGTCAACAACTATCCGGATCCTGTTTAAAATTGCATGCAAAAATAATGGAATTCATTGATGAATCGACAAGTGATCAATTTCCCGAGAAACCAGGAACAACGGATATTGCTCTTATCATAGAGGGGAAAAAGATGTACACTGTAAAATCAATTCTTTCCCTTGCTTCCCCTGTCTTCAAAACAATGTTTTCATCAAATTTTAAAGAAAAAAATGTAATGGAAATTGAACTGCCAGGAAAAACGTACAGAGACTTCGAAAATTTTTTGATGTGCCTGTCCCCAAATAAATGCTTGGATTTTAATGGTATGTATTCCAAGATTATTTTTAAAGGCAAACGACCGAATCAGTTTGAAATATGTAGATATTAAACACAATACAATTATTCATGTATGCAATAATTAAATGGAAGGAATTTGAGGGGAAAAATCTTTTCAGAAGATGCATTTTGCTTTCGGTTCAACACAAATCGTTTTCTTGTGTATGGAATCCGGATAGGGCAATTAGTTCACTTTCTCATCATCGAGCATCGACTAAAGGGTTGATGGCGCGATAATGCGATGGTGCGATTACGAGATGAAGCGATGCATGACGATGAAACGATGATGCGATAGCGCAACATTGCGACGATGGTGCAATGACACGAAAGATACATCCCGTCATTGAACCATTACATCATCGTCATCGCACTATCTCGTCATTGCTAATCGCAACGTCGTATCATCGCGCTATCGCTTCATCGTGTCGTCGCATCATCGATACGTCATTGCATTGTCGCATCATCGCCATTGCACCATCTCTTCCCTATCATGTCATCGCACTATCGACCAAAAACTCGATGGTGTGATGAAGGGATAGTGAACTACGTGGTCCTATCAAGATTCCGTACTCGTGTGATATTAAGATCTTACATGTATTACAGCTTTTCTGGTCAGGTAATTGGTTGGTTATTCAGAAGAAGACTTTTCCTATACTTTTCATTGTAAAGCATTGATTTCCTATTGTGGCTTTTGTGTCGCTTCAGCTTTTCTGACCCAGTGGTTCTTGAGAAGATTTGTTAACGACATCACCCTCTTTTTGCATCTTCTTGATTCTTTATTATGTTCCCTTTGAAGGAAACTTTGCCCTTCAATTTAACAATTTATAATTTCCTTCACCCAGAGATGCTTTGTACCAATATTGAGAAAATATTGAAAATGTGAAGAGAAGGACGGACGGACAAACACCTAGACGGATGGACGCCGAACACCAGGTGATCGGAAAATCTCACTTGAGCTTTGAGCTCAAGTGAGCTAATTATACATATACATGCTTTCACTTATATAAAAGATAAAGAAACAGCGAAAATCTAATACATGTAATTATATATATATAGGAATTACACATGTCACGCCAGGTTCAACAATTACACTTATTTTCTGTAACAGGTATGTATAGTTCAATATACGTTTATTGTATATTTGATTTGTAACATACATTTCAGATGATGTAATTGGGAATTTACTTCCCTTAGCCCAAGAATATCAAGTGGACTCCATTATCAACAAGTGTGAAAATTGGCTTCTAAAAGAGATTGAACTTACAGAAGCCAGAGGTTATAAAGGTGATTTGAAAATGAGGGTAGCGTTTTTATTAAAATATTTTTATAACAGTGGAATATACAGTATGTCAAGAGTACGCCAAAGGACTAGGACATGTCTAGTAAAATTCAAACTGTCTACGTACAGATCAGTAGGGACATCTTATGAAAGACTCTCTGATAAGGATAAAGCAGAACTGTTTGAAGCCAGAATTGAGAAACTTGATTCTTTACATGGATATGGATGTCAGTGTAAATACAGAGACGAATATTTTTTATAGCTGTACGATTTCGCCTTAATATCGGATGATGGATATGTATACCCTGTACTACTAACATTGGACGTGCATGTAGTTTTAAAGAGGAACATAGTGGGACGCACGAACTCTTTTTCAAAACAAAATATTTCACTTTTATTTTGGTACAAAAATGTTCATTGAAAAACTATTTCTCCATTCTGCTTTTTGTTGTTGTATGCTTTTTGAAATTATTTTGACATCACAGATAGCTAGCTGCTTTTTCAATAAAAATGGAACTTGTTTATTAAGTAAACTTTTCACTGGTAATTAAAATGATTTGCAAAATTATTTTCTTAAAAATATTCTAATTTTACACACAAGTGCTCCGAAGTCAATATTTAAAAAGATTTGAGTTTCTGATTGACAATATATTTGCATTTTATAAAATAATTTTTTTTATTTATTTGTTTACTATTTGGGGGGGGGGGGTGTTAGATCAAGTCTTTCAACAATCTGTCGGAATTTCCATGGGAATTTTTTCTGCCCTATATTATAAGCTGACTAATTTAACTATTCAAATAAATAAAAATTAATTTAAAAAGATATCAAAGTTTCAGAAATTATTCTAAAACTTTTACATGAATGTTGAAGTCCCTTGCTTTGGCCTCCAATTCAACATTTAGATGTTTATTGACGACGGTTTATCAATTAACAGTTATATTAATTTTCATTCCAACATTGATTTGATATCTCGGACTCCCTATGAAGTCAATAGGAAAGAAAGCACAGACTCTGTTACATCAAGTTGTTTTCTATTTGGATATACTAAGAAAAAGACGTTAATGATAACCTTATAACGAAACCTTTTGATACAGCAATATATTGTAACAGATACAATTATTTGCCCCTGCAGCTGGGGATTGAAAAAATGCTAGTCCAGTGCTCTACCAACTGAGCTAAATGGTTAACCAACCATCTTCGCTAGCCAAGGGTTTCTGATACGCTACTCTCATCATGAACAACGTATCAGAAACCCTTGACAAGCATTGTACATGTACGAAGAATCCCGTGTATCTTACACCACATTTGTCCACTCCAGAGAATGAAATGTCCTCATCTCTTAACAAAGTTTTGTGGGTGATTACTCTCAAAACCTTCAGAGAATAGTTGGGTCCCAACGTGGGCGTTAAATGTAACAGAGGCATTTATTTGCTTCTGCTACACTGAATAAAAAATTAAAACTAGTGAAAGTCACAAAGAAGACTAGTAAATTTACTTTCAATACATCACTACATGCACTTTAAATGTAGTTTTACTAGTATTGGATATATTTACTAGATAACATTAGTAAATCTAGAATTTATAAGTAGCTTACACTGGGTATCTAAGTATCTTGACGACCTCCACTCCACTTCTCATTTAAGCTAGTAAACAGAATAATTACTAATCACGACGAACAGGGATTACCTGATCTTAGATGAACACAGTATGTATTTAAAGTCAAACATAAAAAGATATTTTATTTCTAATTACACATGTATCCAAACGTATGAAATATCTGCATCAATTTTGATTTGATATCTGTAGCTTACATTGTTATAATGAATTCCTTCCATGATATGTCATATTTTCAGTTATCAGTTATAAACTACTCAATAAAAACAAGATATATCTTGTCAGCGTACTTACCCTCCTTCGTAGAGGCGATTATACTTCAAATATGTTTTCACTCACTAGTAAATTAATAAAAAGGACCAGATAAAAGGAGAATATAAATACTCTATGCGCTTTGTGTACATGGGCTTTTCTGTTTTGTTACTTAAACTTTGTTCAAATAAAAAAAGTTAAATAACAAAACTCTAATGATGGCAAAATAAATGATTAGCGACGGACTTGGTTTGTGGATCGGTTGGAGACACAACATAAATTTATTGATAGTTTAGTAGGGCTTAAGACACGTTACAATTTTTTACAGTAACCAGAGAAACATAAATTCATTTTTTAATAATTTTTTGATAGTTAAGTTTCTTGTAAACTTGGGAGATCATGTAATTATTATATAGTGCTTTTCTATTTACATTTACCTCGTGAAGCAAGGTACCTATTTGCAAATGACGATGATTTTAAAGCCGTGCAGAAGACAAAACTTTCAGCTCTCCGCTGGCAAGTGGTAGTGTCTCTATATGAGTTTAATAAAATTTCAAGAGGGGCATTAAACAACCAAAAAAAAATTTAATTAAGGTTTCTAAATGTTTAAAATTTTACCCTTATAAGTTGAATTGACACTGACACAATGAAATGGTAAACAATAGTCTGAACCATTACAACGTCTCATAAATGTTTCATTATACCCGATCAGATTTTAAATTTTATCTGAATGCTTAATTGGTATGTTTAATGCAGGGTAAGAGTTAAAAATAATTATGAATCTAACGATACCAACTCCAAGATGGGCCTTTAAATTTTGTTAATCAGTCTAAAGTTAAATTATAAAGCTATCTTAAACGCACCAAGGCGAAGAGTACAGACAATTAAATTTTAAAATTGCGTGAGAAGACAATATCAACTATTGCATTATTGCTTTATCCCAAGTTTAACCAAAGTACAAGTTTAAGTTAATTTGCTAATTTGTGCAAAAAGATGGAAAAATCAGAAGAACCAGAGGATATTAAAACGGAAGCCAAGGATCTTTTCCGTGAAGAACCTGGAGTAACCGATGTAGCTCTTGTTGTAGAGGGAAGAAAGATGTACACTATCAAAGCAATTCTTGCTTTAGCGTCTCCCGTCTTTAAATCTATGTTTTCTTCGGATTTCAAAGAAAAATATGCAGCTGAAATTGAATTACCCGGAAAAAAAGTTGAAGCTTTCAAAAAATTTCTGATGTGTTTGTCCCCAAATGAATACTTGGAATTGAAAGGTATGTATATGTGTTAAATATTCAGGAATGCGGACTATTTTCGGACTATTTTCAAATCTCTACTTGTCTCCGCAAAAAACTCATTAATTACGGAATTACTGTCTAGTTGTTTGGTTTTATGCAAATTATTTAAAAGTAGTCCCCGTCATGACGAGGGGAGGATGGCGCTTTTGATCAGACTGGGCTTTATGATGGTATCAAACAGTTTGCTCGCATGATAATTTGCATATACGCCGAAATGCATAAAATAACGAAGTGAGCATACCAAAGAGATTTTTTTTCTGATCCAATAATTGATACAAAATGAAATAATTTCATTACTTTTATCTAAAGTTAGAAGTATAAGTTTATGCACTTCTTCGTGTATAAGTTGTACACAGTAGGTAGAAAGAAGACAAGTCTTTAAGGCGATAAGCAAATGCCTTTATAAAGATATATAAAATGTGTTTTTTCTTATTGAATTTTTTTCTTCGGAAAAAAATGAAATATATATTAACAAGATGCTGTCATTTATAAGACAGTACTACCCACATTTAGATTTTTACCTGGTAAAGCTGAACACGATTTGTAAAAGGAATGTATCCGCTATATCCGATCGGAATCTCTCTATTTCTGCGGACCCTATATGAAGCGACTGACTTAATCACCGTTCATTGTAATTAGTCGTTACTGGTGTAGACGGGTGTATGCTATACAGCACTCAGTAGCAACAAAAAAATAACTGTGTACTTCTTATGCAGGGGAGCAAGATTACTTACAACAGTTGCACAGGTCAGTGCAGTATACAAACACAAATACACGTAACTGCAATAAAATTTAAACAATGGTAATGCAAGATAACCAGCACTAGCACGGATCGCCATTCCTCACAGACAGTAAAGCAGTCAGGTGTAACGAATGCAAAGATTATACCCCGGTGCTAAATAGTAGACAGTAATATTGAAAATGGCGTTAGCCTATAAATGAATCGTGTTCAGCTTTGAATCAATTATATAGTTTTCATATGACGTATTTTTTCCCGAGTTATATCCCTTTGCCGCCATCTTGGTATTCAACCTGATAATTTTTAGCTCTACTGGTCGGAGACCAGAAGAGCTTATGCGATAGTAATGCGTCCGTTGTCCGTCCGTCTGTCTGTCTGTCTGTCTGTAAACAATTTTTTTTTAAATGTTACTCCTCCTACAGTTTTGGTCTGATTCCAATATAACTTGGCGCACAAAGAATACAATAAGATACATAATTCTGTGTATCGGTTTTTGATTTGGATGAACGGTGTTGCCGTGGTTACTATAAATAGAAATTTCTGTGAATTACTTTTAAAATGCTACTCCTCTTACAGTTTTGGTCTCATTTCAGTATAACTTGGCACACAAATAGACTACACTAATATACATAATTCTGTATATCAATTTTTGATTTGGATGAATGGTGTTGCCCTGGTTTCTATAAATAGAAATTTCTGTGAAATACTTTTAAAATGCTACTCCTCCTACAGTTTTGGTCTGATTTCAATATAACTTGGCACACAAGTAGACTGCACAAAGATATATAATTCTGTGTATTGATTTTTGATCGATGAACGATGTTGCCCTGGATACTATTAAAATAAAAATTTCTGTGAAATACTCTCAAAATGCTACAAATACAGTTTTACTCTGATTATAATTTAATTTTACGTGCAAGTAGACTACACTGAGATACATAATTATCAGTTTTGTGTTTTTGATTTTGATGATTAATGTTGCTATGTTAACTAAAATTCAAAATTCAGTAAAGTTTTATTAAAAGCTAGTTCTACAGTGTTGTAGTCTTACTGCAATCTTGCCACAAAAAGAGGCTTAATCAAGGATCATATTCTATTTATTGCTTTTGTAAAGTTTTAAGTCCCAACTGCTACTTTTCTCCCTTATTATAAGTACAAACCAGTAGAGTTACAGTCTCGACAGAGACTTCTGGTTCCTATTTGTCTTACTCACCAAATTTAAGTGGGTGTAGCAGAAATTTTGGGGGTAAAATCTTAATGGAATAAATATTATGAAACAAAAGAGGCTTTAAAAATGTATTATTTTTCAGAAAAAACAATGCCTCCTACTCCACAATGGCCAGTACAAAAAATTAAAGTTGGTTGAATAATGAAGGAATTTGAGCATGTTGACCTCCAATATGGCGGTCAACAGGAAATAACTATTGCGAATTTGTGCTAAACGAAACCTATTTATAAGTTGGTAACTTGGGGGGATGATAAACGTAAAAAGAGTTCAGGGAACCAGATTTTTGTATTGTAAGACATCTTTTTGATCCCTGGTTGTCCATTAGGTTGACATTCTAAAACATTATTACACATATATAACCTATTCTCAATCATAT